ATCAATCTACTTAAGGCATTCTCTACATCTTCAGTAGCAATTATTATGCCGTCTTCAGTTTGGTCAGGGATCTCGAAATCCTCACTGCCGCGCTGGTGACAAGTAAACAGTAAAGTATTGTTGAGCTAGAAGTTAAGCCATACATAACTCATCTGTTTCGGGCACACCAGCTGCATTGTGAAGACCTTGGATGCCCGGGCTTTCACGAGGCTTTCTCTTCAGAAATGAATAGAATCGATTTGGCTGGGTGTCAACGTTTTTCACCAAATCATCTTCGTATGCTATTTTATTTGCCCTCATCATACGTTTGCATTGTGTAAGATGTTTGATCTTTTCCGCTAAAAGATTTACCATAGGTGTCTGTTACAAGAGTTACTCAAGAATATAAATGTAAAAGGTAATTAATTTATAGGAAAAGTACATTTTAATAAAGGTTAAGGAATAATAATGACGGTATTTTTAGTAGGTATATAGGCTGAATGAAACAAGCAAACGTTTACTGAAAAAATCAAAGTCTTCAAAAAAACTACCCACTGATAGTACTATGCTGCGCATCAGTTTCTAACTAAGCAAATTTTGTTTTGGCGGTCAAAGCAACATAATTTCTTTAAACTAATGAATTTGCCTCACGTTATTTTAAAACGGTGTTAGGAGGGGCGCTTTTATTGTTTGCTGTGCTCCATTTAGTGAACCTCGTCGAGTTGTCCTCATCTCTCGTCTCCCGGATCCATAAATATCAACTTTCCAAGACATTCCGTGAGAAAACCATTGGTATTATACCTTAAAGGTCAGTGCTCACCTCAAATAACCGAGGTTGACATGTAAATTGAGCATGGACAATATTGTCCGTCCTTCCTATATAAGAGTCAATTTTTCTCTGGACAATGATGTTGGCTGTTAAATCAAACGGTCCATTTCGGTAAAAATACTTAATACAGGTTTCAGACACCTGCGAACTAACTTAAATATTAAGGAAGCAAATTTTTGGTTGGCCTCGAATTATATATTCGCAGATCTGTGACTATTTGCCATGTGGTGTCTGAATGCACTTCGCAAAATGTAATTCTACATAACCGTCTGGAATCTCGATGCGGCGTCTGGGACGA